TCCTGAAAATGTATACATTTTAGACCACAGAACAGGGCCACTGTGGAACAACATGAAATGATAGTGATGTTAATTTGCTATCAAGCATGACTTTCCAGCCAAACATTGTGATGTAAAGTTGTAGTCCCAGCACTTTTGGAGGCTGAGGCAGGAGGATCCCAAGTTTGCCAGCCTGAGCAATTTAACAAGAACTTGTGTCAAATTTTTTTTAAAAAAAATGTTTAAGAGGCTGGAGATGAAGCTCAGTTTGAAGGCCCTGTGTTTAATCCCCAGTACTACCTTAATTAATTAATTAATTGAATAAATGGACTGGACTAGAGCTCAGTAGTAGAATGCCCCTGGGTTCACTCCTCAGTATCACACACACAAAATTCTGAGTATAACAAGGAAACTACCACCTCTTAGCTTGAGAATCTATCATTCCTCATTGCCAAACTTTCTTGAATTGGTAATATTTTCTCAATTTTTCCAACGTGCTGATTACTTTTCTTTTTCCCAACTTGGAACATTTGCTAAGTTTCTTCTGTCTAAATCACTTTTTGTCCTCACATTTTCATGAATGATACCTGTATTCTGAAATTTTTAGCTTAAATGTCATATCTCCAGAGAAATTTCTCTATTTACCTTATGTAAAGCAGGTCCTTCTTGTTCACTATCTCAGGTAAATATTGAGGTAGGTAAATTTTTAGGTATGTGACAAGTGTTCAGCTACAGCTTCTGTTTTTTCTCTTGACAAAGGATATTAAAGGAAGTTAGAAAACTATACTGTCAAAGTATGAAGAAACTAGTGGATACAAAAGATGAGTTATGAGGTGTCATCTCTGCTCCTCATTGTCACTTCCTACCATTGCTGAGTTTTTTCTCTAAAATCTCCACTCTTTCGAAACACATGCCATCAAAATACGCTGCTCAGCACTGCTTCTTACTACAATCATCTCAACATCCTCTGTTATTTCTTGAAAGCTTTAACACCTGACTCTTTCTGTCTTTTACCACTATTCATTTGACTGTTCTTTGTGATTTTAATATCTTCAAAGGCCATCCATCCAAGCTGGTGGCCTGTCATTCTCCTCAACTTCATCCCTTCATTTGCACTTCACCTGGTCTATTACAAGTTAGCCTTCTGCCTCCTAAGTCTGAATTTCAGGTGCCTCAACCCCTGATCTACAAAGTCCTGTACTTTCATTTCACTTTCTCCAGTACCCTGAGTTCTGCAATTCAAAGATCCTACCAAGTTATCTAGTCCATTTATCTTTTTGCCATTTTTTTGTTTTTTGATTTTTTTTTTTTATAATCCCAATCCTCATATCGACACTTCTTTAAAACTGAGCTTTTTACTCTATGATCTCTCATTTTCATTCTTTTTTATATACACTCAAATTCCTTGTGGTCAAGTTCCACCCCTTATAGCAACCACTGTTTAATTTCTATTGTCAGAATTAGTTTTCTTGGGCTGGGGATTTAGCTCAGTGGTGCTGCCACCTGCCTCAAAAGCTCAAGGTTCTGAGTTCAATCCCCAGTACCAAAAAAAAAAGAATTAGTTTTACTTGTTCATCTTTGTTTCTGACTTCTTTCACATAATGCTGAAATTCATCCATGTTATTACTTTTATCAATATTTCATTCTTTTTCCACTGGTGAGTGGTATTCCATTATAAAAATATGCTATAATTTGTTAATCCATTCTCCTGTTGATGGCCCCTGGCTTGTTCTAATTGGAAGCTAGTAATAAAGCTATTGGCTGAAAGATAATTCAAACCAAAATGGTCAAATATGAGGTAATCCCTAAGTAGGAAATGGACATGTTTCATTTTCTGAGTAAATAACTAAATGTGGAAGTACTGGATCTTAGAGTATATCTAAGTTTAACCATATAGAAGTTATCAAACAAGTTTTTAAAGAGGCTGACCATTTCACATACCCACCAGCTATGTATTTGAATACTACTGGCTTCATAACTTTCCCAGACTTTTAATTTTAACTATATAATAAGTATAAAATGGTTTTATACTTTCCTAATTGTTCATGGCCTACAACTTTTTAAAAGTTTGTATTCCCCATAATAAATGGTCCTGACCTATTTTTCAACAAATGGTACTGGGACATAAGTTGAAAAATAAGTTTATTTCCCTTTCTGGTAGTTTTTCACCTATTTTTAAAAAAATCATTGTATTGAGGGTCTGCCTCTGTGACTCATATTCTACTCAATTGGTCTGTTTACCCTTATGACCATAACGATTAGTTTTATGTAAACAATTAGTTATAACAGTACTACACTAGCCTGATTATTATAGCATTGAAGCAAGAATTTCCAACAGTGTTATTATTGACATTTTGAAAGAGATAATTCTTTGTTATGGCAGCCTGCCTTGTGGTACAGCACTTGCCTGAATGCACAAGGTCCTGGATTTGATTCCTAAAAAAGAAAGAAAGAAAGAAAATTTACTTCTATTTGCAATTTGGATGCCTTTTGTTTCTTTTTCTTGCCTAATTTTTCTGGGTAAGAGTTCCAGTACTATGTTGAGTCAAACAGTAAAAGCAGCTCCTTCTCTTGACCTGGAGAGATTGTTAAAAGAAATTGTTTAGAGAGCTAAAAATCTTTCCCTATCTGTTGCACTATACCACTACTGCCTACCACCACAGGGTTGGACTGCTTGAAGATACATAGCCCTACTACCCAAAAGCTTAGTACCCTAAAATTGAATTATTTATGCTGGAATAATGATCCAGACAGAGGAAGTTTTTAGAAGAATGAGTAATAGTCATGTATGGCACTAAAAATCTTAAAAGATTTCTTGTCAACCATTTTTCAAATTTGTGCATTGCAAGGAAGTCTCAGAGGCTTCTGTACCAGTGAGTTTACCAGTGCCTTTTTATTTTTCTTACTTGCTAGCAAATTATTTTTGAATAGTACTGTGCACACACACATTTTCAAATCTTCTAAATTTACAAGAGGAGATGGAAATTAACAATTTTATATAACCTGTCTGGATTTTTTATCACAGTTCAGACTTAATGTGACAGCCAATTTTAAATTGTTGTCTAAAAGGAAAAAATATATGCTATATTTCCTTGATGGCCCCACAATTTTTTTTTATTTATTGTTTTCGGTATTGGGAACTGAAGGTAGGGCCTTCACACTGAACTACAGCTCCAGCTCTTTTTCTTTCTTTTCTTTTCCTTTTTTATTTTTTTAAAGACAGGACTCTCTAAGCCCCTAAGTTGCAGAGACTAGGCTCAAACTTGTGATCCTCCTTACTCAGCTTCCCAAAGTACATCATCAAGCTTGGCTACTGCCCCATATTTTGCAAGGCTGCTTCTTTCATTAATGAACTAGTTATTAGCATTACCAGAATTAGCATAACTCTTAGAAAAAGATTTTCCCACAGTAAAGCAATGGGAGATGGGAACAGGTATACAGTCCTGCTAGAAATCAGAAGAGGCCTCATTGCAGAGCCTTCTCTTATCCGCAAAAGATGTAGATGAGGTTTTTAAATTACCACATAAAAATATATTTAAGTTCTGCTCTTGGGTAGGAAGAACCAACGTGTGAAAATGGCCATACTCCCAAAATTGTTATATAGATTTAATGCAATCTCAAACAAAATACCATTAGCACACCTCACAGAACTACAGAAAACATTCCTAAAATTTATTTGGAACCAAAAGGAACCTAGAATAACAAAAACTATTCTGGGCAACAAAGGCAAGGCAGGGGGCATCACAATCCCTGACTTGAAATTATACTACAGAGCTACTGTGATAAAAACAGCATTGTGCTGGCAGAAAAACAGACCTGAGGATCAATGGAACAGACTGGAAGAGGCGGAAACAACCCCAAACATGCTCAGCCACTTTCTCTTTGACAAAAGGGCCAAACATGTTCACTGGAGGAAAGAGCCTCTTTAATAAGTGGTGCTGGAAAAACTGGCTTTCTATTTTTCAAAGACTAAAACTAGACCTATGTCTCTCACCAGGCACTAAGCTAAAATCAAAATTTTTTAAAGATCTAAATATTAAAACAGAACTAGTAAATTGGCTAGAAGGGAGAATAGGTAAATCTCTTAAGGACACAGGAGTAGGCAAAGACTTCATGAACAAAACCCAGACTGCATGGGAAATTATACAAAGAATCAACAACTGGGATCTCATCCTATTAAAAAGTTTTTTCACCACAAAAGAAACCACCAACAGAGTGAAAAGACAACCCACAGAGTGGGGAAAAAAATTTAACCAGTAGTCCCTCAGACAAAGGACTAATATCTAGAAAATAAAAGAATTGAAAAAAATCAGACCCCCCAAATTTAAGGACCCAATCCAAAAAATAGGCATCTGAAATGAATAAACACTTCTCAGATAAAGAATTACAAACAGCAAATAAATGTATGAAAAAATCTTCAACATCACTGGTCATCTGAGAGATGCAAATTAAAACAACGCTGCGATTCCATCCCACCCTAGAGAGAATGGCTTTTATCAAGAAGTCAAACAACAACACATGCTGGCAGGGCTGTGGGAAAAAAGTGAACCCTGCCCCACTGTTAGTGGGAGTGAAGACTGGTGGAAACTAGTGTGGAGATTGCTCAAAAAATTAGGATTAGAGGTCCACTTTGACCCAGCTATTCCCCTTCTGAGTATCTTCCCAAAATAATTAGAGGCTTTTTTTTTTCTCAGTACCGGGCATCAGACTCAGGACCTTTCGCTTGTGAAGCAGGCCACGGTGCCACTGAGCTAAATCCCTGACCCTCCAAAATTATTAAAAGCATGTGCACCCATGTTTATAGCAAGACAGTTTGTGATTGCTAAATTTGGAAACAACCCAAATACATTTAAATTCTTAGCCAAGATAGTGTTTTTCAAAATCTAAGATTTGTTCTTTCTGAGTAAAGGTTTGAACTATGAAAACACTATTATACAATAAATAGCATTGTCTTAAAACTATTTCCTCTTTTTTTTTAATTTATTGCCTATTTCTGTTACTTGCTTATGTTTTAAATGTAGAGCTTTTGAAGAAAAACGAAAAGAACACGAAGAAAGGGAATACCAAATTAGAGAACAAATACTTCAACAAAGAAAACAGAAGTTTGAAGAAGTTACTGAAAAATTCCAACGTGCCCATATCCCTCTTTCACAGCGGAGGAGAGCAGGTACCTTAATTTCTCGAGCAATACGAGAACAAAAATTAAAGTTATGATCACATTTGACCTGACTATTGTCATGATAAATGAAGAAACCAAAACTAAAAAGACCACCATGCTTTTTAAATAAATAGGACTTTAACAAAATGAAGAACAGTAATTTGATTTAGGTTTTATTAGAGAATATTTTGTTGCCTCTATTAGTAAATTTTCTATTAGCTTACAAGTTTATTTCAACTTCAAAGTGGCTTACAGTTTTATCATTTTAAAATTAACAACAAAAATATTAACATTTGAGTTCAGGAAATTAGTGTAACATTCATTCTGGCATCTTATCCTCAGTTTGGTTCAAATTCTTAATTTGAGAGACTAGCAGAACAAAAAAGTCTACAAAGTAATATAATCCAACAAAAAACTTATAACCAATTTAAGAATTTAAATATGATTATGGTCAATTCTTTGGTGTCATATCCAGATATTTGTACCTCAGTAGAAAGACAGAATTGGCTTCTGTGTCAAAGCTTCACAAAGATAGATAGACAGACCCTTAATGCATTCAGCCACCTTATACTATCATATGCTAGCCTGTGCTTAGCCCTGGATTAAGCTGAGATGCCATCTCATTGTATTCTACAATTAAATATCCCATGGCCTGAGAGGCTGAGGCAGGAGTGTCACCGAGTTCAAGGCCAACTTGGACTGCATATTGAGTTCAAGGCCATCCTCAACTATACTGTGAGACCCTGTCTCAAAAAACTAAAAAATACACAACAAAAAAAACAGTGAAGTCAACTATATAGTCAAGTATACATATAGTTATGTGACTAGAGAGCAATGCTTTTAAATGTACATCTTTATACACATGGCTATCCTTTATCTACATGCATATAAGAGATATATAGGATGTAAATTTATCAAATATATTAAATCAATATTTTAAATTATTGAAGATAGTTGATGGAGACAGTGGAGATTTATAGGGGTTAGGATTTCAACATATGAATTTTGGAAGAGGCATAAACATTAACATGATAGCATACTCAGTTTCCAACATGAGACTTTATTGGTGAAATTAATAGCCTATTGAATAGCCTGATGTTAAAAATGGGAATTTTTGTTGAAATTAAAGGTATTTAAGATAAGTGGATTTTCCTGAACATATTTTAACTACCCCCTATACTTGCAAGAGCAGAGAATAAGGGCCAGGGATTTAGTTCAGTGGTTCCACTGCCTGCCCCACAAGCGCAAGGACTCGAGTTCGATCCCCGGTACCAAAAAAAAAAAAAAAAAAGAGCAGAGAATAAGAATCCAAGGATATGTATATCCTTTACTCTTAGGGGTGGCATCTGAGACCACCAATAAAGACCCATGTTGGAAATTGAGTATAATAATTAGAAAAACAGTCAATGTTTGCTATGGTGTCTCTTCCAAAATTCGTATGTTTAAATTCTAACCCTTGTGGTGATGGATAGTAAAAGAGACCTTTGGGATCTGATTAGATTATGACTTTCTCATGTGTGAAATTAGTACCTAAAAGAGATCACAGAGAGCTACTTAGCCCTCCAATAAGATGAGAACACAACTGAAAGTTACCCTCTGTGTGGAAATGGGCCTTGATCTTGGACTTCTCAGCCTGTGGAATTGTGACAAATAATTTCCTATTATTTAGTAAGTTACTTTGTTTGAAGTATTTATTATAATACCCTTCAAGAATAAGATGCTACCTAAAGCTTGATAGTCACTGTATATGTCGTTTATGATTAGAATATCAGCAGACCATCTCACAACTCTCTTCCCTAGCATATTAAGTCATCACCAACTGATTAGGGAAATGAATCGCCTCTAGAATTTGAGTTTGAATTAATCATCATGTAATAAATATACTGAAGGGGGCCGGAGATTTAGCTCAGTGGTTCCATTTCCTGCCTTGCAAGCGCAAGGTCCCAAGTTCAATCCCCAGTACCAAAAATAAATAAATAAATAAATAAATAAATAAATAAATAAATATACTGAAGGCTACAGGAGAAGCAATATTCTTAAAGCAAGAAGATGAAAGAGAATATTTGAAAAGCAAAAGAAATGAGTGTATTGAACATCGAACTGCACATTAGAAAGCTTTGGGACAGTGAATACATACAGGAGGCAGGTTTGGATTAAAGGCTGTACAGAGCAGTGTGTACATAAATGTCCATACTAGTTCAAGAGTTTGAACAAGTTACTTGGCTTTTCTATATCTTGTTCTTCTTAGCTGTAAAATTCAAATAGCAATGGTCTCATAAGCCATAGTGAGAATTAAATTAGTTCATACAGTACATATAAAGTCCTTAAAATTAAGGCCTGTAACAGTGAATGTTTGATAAATGTTAGTTTATATTTTCCCTTTTATTCATAGGAATATTTATAAATTTTGTCAGAAATTTATGGGACTATGAGGTCAAATATAGAGGGTTTTATATGACAGAATAAAGAGTGTGGAGATGTCTCAAAGTTTCTTTTTTTTCAGGTAATTCTTAAAATTGGTGATGAAAATTTCCAAGAAATATTTTTTCTTTTGAAAATTAGATGTCAAATTTTAATATTTATACTATTGTAAAATATTTTCTTTGTACAAGTGGCTTAAAGTACTGTTTTATCCATTGAACAACTAAATTATATATAGACCATTGATGATAGAGTAATTCTTTATTGTTTGATCTTTCTTTATGATCCTCTTAGTTTTCCAAAAACCTATTCCTCCATTAGAAGAGGCCCTCAAACAAATTCAAGAATCTAACTTGAAATCAGAAGTACACCTTCCCTTTGCCCACAGACCAACAATAAGCCATAGGTAAGTAATTTATTATTACTATGTATAACTATCTGTATATAATAATCTCTAGTGACTAAATTTGTGGACCTGTTCATCAGTTACTCCTCACCTGTGTGCAATGATAATAATATTTCAATTTACTTATATAAAGATATCAATACTTCATAGAATAGATTATGTTGCTATTTTACCTTTGTATAACATTATTCCATTTTTAGAATCCCTGTGGTCAATTATTCCCTTTATTGCAGCTAAGAAAAAATTAATTTATCCTCAGTCTTCAATAGACTTAAGGAAAGAACTCATGAAATAGAGAACTCCTCAACAAAGCTTTGGAGAAAATGGAGTTAATCATGGAGAAGTTGGGTAGATAGCTTTACAGACAAAATAATGAGCATGTGTAAAGGCCAAGGACAGTAGAAGGGATCATATATTACAAGAGTGACAATTTGGTTAAATCATAGAGTGCAAAATACTAACACCTTTTGTAGATGTGAGACTGTAAAGGTAAATGCATCTATATGTTAAGGACTATAAACTTTATCCTAGAGTTTAAGAAAATTTTAAGCAGATGAGTAAAATCCAGATTTATAAAACATATCATTCCAATCCAATGAGAACTTTTTTGTAGATAATTGAAAGATAAGACTATTTCAACAAATATGGAAATTATATGATCTAGAACTCAAGAGAAATGACAATAGATGCAGTCCTGTGATGAACTCTAGAGAACAACAACATTTAAGAGGTGGAAAAAGAGACGCCTGCAAATAGAAACAGAATTATTAACACAGGACTAGAAAAGGGTAGTGTTGTAGAAACTAAGGAAGGATCAAGTTTCCTGAAAAAGAAATAGTTTGCAGAGATCAAATGACTTCTAAAGAATCAGTGAATTGGGAACATAAAAAGTTGTGTCTGTCAGGATCCTGGCAGGAAACAGGAGGCACATTTTAAAAGATTGGGTGAGATGTTAATAAAGAGGGTATGAAGCCAACAAAGGATTGTGACGTCCCCCAGAACTGTCAGCAAAGTCAGTGTTACCAATACACACCTGAATTGAAAAGAACTGTAGTTGTGAAAGAGGGCTGATAAATGGAATCCATGGGCCTAGGTAAAGGAACATAGCCACTGCTAAATCAAGCATAGCAGGGAGGAAAACCAGAGGAATAAGTACCAAAAGCTGCTCTGTCAACATCCTGTCTCGTGCTAGTGTCATCCATTAGCCAAACTCAGCCATGAGTCTGAAAACAAGTTAGTATTTAGTCTCTGTAGAATGCAGTCAAGTGGGAAAGTGTAGAAAATGAATCTGGAGAAGCAAAGACAGAATATCCAGACAGAAGCAATGAGTTCACTGTATTTCACAACAAAAAAGTCACTGGCAACTTTTGACAGCAATTTCAGTGGAGTGGTAGGGGCAGAAAATAGATTGCAATGAGTTGAAAGAAATGGAAAGAAAGAAAGATAAGTGTAGCTTGCCCATGAACATAAAAGAGTTATAAGATAATAACCAGAAGAAATGTAGGGATGAGATATGGTCTTTTCCTTTCAAATGAGAGAGATCTTACCCTGTTTAAACATGAATGTCAAAATGATAAGTAACAGAAATGCAGTCTAGAGAGGTTGAGTAGGATAAAAAATATAAAATGAGTCAAGTACATACTCTATGCTATACATTGAATATCTTGGGTTACACACATGAATGAGATATAGTCCTCTGCCCAAGAAGGGTTTGCAGTTACATGGTAACCCCATGTAACAGTAGTTACATTAGAACTCATATGTAATACTGTATTCTGGGGGCTGTTATAGAATTATTAACAAAGTGATAAACACAAAAATTAAAAATATTGTGAAGAATGAGTAAGAAAGAATTGTCTAATAAAGAAGCATGAATTGGGTTTTAGGAATGTATAAGTTAGAGGGTTATAAAAGACACAGACCCTAAAGGAAATGGAACCTGTTTAGAGGGGCAGGAGTACAGGTTGTGTTGCTAGTAGAACAGGAGATTATCTAGAATATTAACTGAAATCGTATTTGAGTTTATACATTTAGTCAAGGAGTTTGAATTTTATCCTATAACTGATGGAGAACCAATGGGGATTTTAAAGGAGTGAATGATATCCTCTTTATAATTTTAAAAAGATAAATGGTATGAATGATGGAGAATAGAGTAGATAGAATTTGGAAGCCTGAAGACTAGAAAGAAAATTATTGAGATAATATAAGAGATATGTCATTAGTGCCTAAATTAGAATAACACTATTATGGTTTATTGAAGAAAAATAGATCTAACAAAAAATAAAAAGATAGGGCTGAGATGTAGTTCAGTGGTACAGTGCTTGCCTAGCTTATACTGTGGGTTCAGTCTCCAGTACTACAAAAAGGTATATAATAAGTATTTTAATCACTTTCTCATCACTGGAACAGAATATCCAACACCAAAAACTTAGAGGACAGATTCATTTTGGCTCATATTTTCAGTTCATGGTCAGCTGACTCCAAGGCAGATGCAGCATGATGGAAGGGCTTGGGTGGATAACAGATGTTCATCCCATGGCATCCAGAAGCAAAGAGCCAGCGAGGGAGATACACCCTTCTAGGTCACACCCTCAGTGGCCCATGTCATGTCTTCTGACCAGGCCCCACATCCTGACAGCACATTGAGCTATGGATTCATCAGTGGATAGTGCCCCCATGATCCATTCTCCTTCCAAAAGCCCCATCTATGAACACATGAGACTTTGGAGAACATTCTAGATCTAAACCATAACATCCCACCCTTTGCCTCCACAAAAGTCCGCATGTCCATCTCTTTATGAAAAAATGTATGTAGTCCATGTATATGAGTTGCCAAATTCTTAAACAGTTCCAGTATTGCTGAGAAGTCTAAGTCCAAAGTCTCCTCTGAGACTCAAGCCAAACTATAGCTGTGAGCCTAGGTAAAAATTTAAAAATTAAGCAATGCTGACACAACAGATATTTCCATTCCAACGAGAAGAAATGGGTATAGAAAAAAATGAGGCCAAAGTAAGACTGAAACCCAGTAGGGAAAACATTAAATCCTACAAGATACTGGGGATAAATTCTCCAGTAGAGAAAACATTAAATTAAAGCTCCATGTTCAGTACCTGGGGCAAGCTATGGTGAGATGTGAACTGTAAAGGGATTGGGTGGCCTTGCCCCTATGGTTTTGCCAGTTGCAGCCCTTGTGGCCTCTGGGATTATGAGAGACAAAATGAGAGGAAACTTCAGATAGAAGGAATAATTAGTGTGTACAAAAAAAGCATGAAAGGCCATGTTGTGCTAGAAGAACGTTACATGATTCAGCTTGGCTTATGTGTACATTGAGAAGAGTTGTGGGCAGATAGGTTAGAAAGGATGACATGAGTTAAACCATGAAGAGCCTTGTTAAAAAATTCATTCTAGATACACTTAGTGAAAGATTTGAAACAAGCACACATTTATATCTCAGAAACAGTGCCAGAGTGGAAAAAAAAATAGGATAAGACTAAAGGTGTGGAAATTCAAGTAAAGTGGTATGTAGGTAATAAAAATGAGGACTTCGTCTTTTTAGAATTTTTATTAGTACATATTTGCAGTACATAATGATTACATTCATCTAGGAGAATTGGTACATGTACATAACACATCTTGATTCTTTTTACTTCCCCTTTCCCTCCCCTACACCCTCCCTCCATTTCCTGTGATATGCTATTTAGGAGAAGCTGGGCATGGTGTCACACACCTGTAATCTCAGCCCTCTGGGAAGCAGAGAAAGGAGGATCACAAGTTTGAGCCCAGACTGGGCAATTTACTGATTTAGTGAAACCCTGTCTCCAGACTTAAAAACTGATGGGAAGTTAGTTCAGTGCAAAAGCCCTGGGTTTAATCCCCAGTACCACAAAATAAATAGGAAGATAGACAGATACTGTAATTTTTACAATTATTATATTACTTAGTTAATCACAGGTGTTCCCATTAATCATCACACATCAACTTCATTGGATTAAGAAATGTGTAGCAGGAGGCTGGGGCTTTAGTTCTGCCGCCTGCACAAGGTCCCAAGTTCGATCCCCAGAACCAAAAAAAAAAAAAAAGAAATGTGGTAGCAGGTTAGTAGAGCACTCTCCAGGTTGTGTCTGGGAGGGTCATGGTGGCAAGGCCTTGGGTATTATATGTGGTCCCTCACCTATTCCTGTCTGGCACTGTTCCCCTGCTGTGCTCCCTGGCTGCATGAACTGCTCTGCCATGTCCTTCCACCATGATGTGCCAGCCAGCTGACTATGAAAAGAATCCCCCCCAAACTGAGCTAAACTGAACCCTTCCTCCTTCAAGTTATGAGTGTCAGGTATTGTGTCCAGCAACAGGAAAGCTTACTATTATAGCAAGCAAAGCAGTACATTGAAGTGGGAAAAGTAGAACGGAAGAGCACTGTGGTAAGGAACAAATGCAAGTGTAGGCAATAAAGGCAATATAATTTAGACTACTTTCTGGGAAAGCTTATCTAAAAAAACTTGACAAACAATGAAAAGATGGGCCCTAGGGCTCAAGGGAAATTTAAGCTGAATTAAAAAGTTCAAAACAATTTAGTATAGAAGTAATATGCATTTTTGATACAGGGACTCTTCACTTTCAGGTTTCTTTTTCTGTCTCTCAGTTGTTACACTTTGTGTTAATCAGATATTTTCAATTTTTAAAATGCCTCTTCTGCAGTAAATGAAATCATAGACTTGTTTGTTCAATAATGTTCAGTTGCTTACACTCTTAGAAGAGTTAAAATGTCAGAAAAACTGAGTTCTCTGAAACAGATAGTTATCGTGACAGCAAATCTGTTCTAGATCACTAAATATACATCATCTTTGTTCTATGAAAAGTCATCTTCAATCTGCACTAAAATACCTAGTTTTCATGTTACTGCAATATATTATTATGACTGACTTTATGATAGCTAATATCTGTCTCTGTGTGCATCTATACCATATGTATTGGAAACAAAAATATATGCAATCTATAGAGAAAACAGTATAATTTCATTATTTCAAAGTTGCATTTCTCTCCACACATAACTAACAGTAGTAAATAATGTATATGAAAATGTTTTATAAACTATAAATGCCATACAAATATGAGATTTATTAAGGTTCAAATATTAGGTAATTAAAATATACTTAATGCTTGCAAATATTACCAATATTAACAAATATTACCACATTAAAATACATTGTCAATAAAATATAAACCTGAAATATGTTAATAAAGTGATACCAAGAAATGAAATTTCCAAAGAAGCAGAGGTATATCAGTACTCATGAAAAAATGTCCTAATGTGGAAAATGCTAATAGTAGATAAATATAGTTTAAGATATTGGTAATGTGATCACCTAAAAGAAAAACTCTATGAAACAGTAGAGAGCATTTATGCTTAAGCCTCAAGAAAAATCAAAGAATATATTTTTATGAACATAGAAACTGTTTCCAGAAATAAGAAAGTATAAAAATATTAATAAAGGACTAAAGTTTAAAATATAAGAAGTAATCAATCTTCCATAAGAACCAAATTCTTATCTCAGAATGCACCTTCACCTTTCTGGCAGGTACAGGGTGAAAAAGGTATATTCCCCCCCATATTAAATACTGCTTACTCTTTTTTACAATAACATTGTTAGATATCTATCTCCAATATCCATGTATTTTTGGTGAGACAGCTGATTCTGGCCACATGCTGCCCTGAAAAGTCTGGCTGGAGATGAGCAGTTGTCTATTTGACCTCTACTTGCCCTTTGTACCATGTTCTACATCAGATTTTTCAGTCCATATTCAAGTATCTGTATGGCTAACAGACTTCTAAAACTACTCTGAGAAAAAGAAATAAGAAAAAAGGAACATGAGTCAACCATGTACATTTTTCAGTTGCGGTGAGAGCACCCTGGTTGATCAATGGAAGATCATGCATGGACCCTCAGAACAAAAAATAACATCTATCAAAAGTCTAGAGACAATCCAGTAAACCCAAAAGTAATCTTAATAAGGCTGTTTCTTCCCACCTGTCCAAATGCTTTTCCACCTGTGCAGATCCATTCCTGCCTGTCCGGCTGTCTCCACACCTGATCCCTACTTATCTGATCAGCTATCTTCTTCACGGGCCCCATTACTGTCCCACTATTCCCAAATTCTTCCTAGCTACCCAACTGTTTCTCCCATGCGGCAGCCCCATACTCTGCCTTCTGTCCCCTCTACTCTCCCAAAGAGCTTTTTGCCTCCCCCATCACTGTGTTACCCAATCAAATATCTTCCTCGCCCTCCTGCCCCAGTTACTTCCAGCTTTTCTAGCAGTTTCCCTCGTCTACCAGCCCCTATTCCTTCTGGCCCACCTGATCATCAATCTCATCCATCCCAAAGTTCTCTATTCGTTCCTGATCCTGACTCACAGAATAAGTTATTTTACAAAGCTTTCAGACCTAAACATTTCCTTCCAGCACAGCGTTCTACCCCGGCTACTCTAATGCCTGCCCTTATTCATCGTTCCCTTCCAGCACGACTGGTTGATTCCCCAGCCCCTTTGGAAGCTCTCCCTGCTTTGAAGCCTTCTTTATTCAGTCATCCCCTTCATCAACCAGTCCCCAGTCTCTCTGATACCACTCCATTCCCTGAGCATCCTGCTAGATTGGGTCTTTTCCAGTCAGGTCAGCAATCTCTCTCCCAAGCCACATTGTCAAAAAACCCCCAGGCCTTTATAGATCATCCACCTGCCTCAAGTATTTTCCATGCATCTCCTTGTCATTCTCCATCCTCTTCTTTTACTTCATCTCCTTCTACTTCCACATCCTCTTCTTCACACTCTGTAGTGTTTTCTTCTTCTTCATCTGTTCTCTCCTCTCCTTCACCTTCCTCTTCTACTTCTCCATCTCTTCCCCCTTCACCTAGCCCTCTTTTGTCCTCTCCTTTGGATTCATCTCCTTCTCCATATTTGCCTCCAACTTATTTAGCTTTTCCCTCTCCAATTTCTCCTGTTTCTACTTCCTTTATGATTTCTTCTTCCTTTCCCCCTATGCTTCATTCTCCCTCTATTTCTATCTCCCCATCTCCTTTTATTCCTATCCATCCTTTCAATCCTCCTCACTGGGGGAAGAAAGTAGAGAAAAGAAGAGAAGAAAGTGGAGTAGAGAAGAAAGGAATAGCGAAGAAAAAGTTGAGAGACGACAACTTTAAAGGTAAATAAATTGAGTTTATTAGATATTTTGTAGATTTAGCTTTGTTTTATTTGGGAAGGGTGACCAAAGGGGAAAGATTATATAAGAGTAGGGAACTATAAAAGGAAGATACAGAAACATACCCTTAATGTTCAGGCACTTGTATTAAATACACTCTTGCTCTCCTTGATCTCCCTGTAATAACAAAGAGATAGTAATCTGATACCATCAATAATCATTAACTTTGACTATTTCAGTCTGTCCAAATAAAGATATATATGGGTATTGGAGATAGGTATATATCATATGTGGCCAAGTGTCACCTTCCAAACATATTTATACTTATTGAATTGGGAATAACTTAATTGACTTGGGAATAAGTAGCCTTGGAATTCATGCTACTGGCCATAGTGCAGCAGCAGTCAGTTATATGGTATCTTCATCCCCATCCTATTCTCTTCCAAAATCTTTCCTTAGTTATTTGTTTTTCACTTTGTATATAAACTGAAATGTAACATATTATAGGTTTGCAGGTAATACAAAATTCTTAATAGAAGATGATGTCGTGTGCTAATATTCCGATGATATTTTGGCACACTAAAAGTAGATATTAAAGATACCCTTTCTGTAGCATAAAAACTATGCTTATATTCCTGATTATATTCCTGAAACAAACTAAAACAAATGTGTACACTCTTCACTGAATAAGAGTCAAGCTTCCAAACCCAGATAAGGAGAGAGGAAATTCCTGCCTACCCTCCCAAGCAGTTTTCATAGTTTCTATATACCTGAATCTTCAACCAACTCTTTAGGATATAAGAATACTTGTTACTCATGACATCAACTTAGAACAAAGGGTAATACCGAATATGATTATCCAGATAGGAATGCTTGTAAAAAAACTGAAGATTGACTCCACACATGTACAGGAATTATTTATCCCTATTCCAAATGACAGAAGAATTAGATATAATAATCAAAGTCATGACTAATTGGGCATTCCTACATGAAGGTGGAGTTCTTTATTGGCACTATAATCTCACAACCATTTTTATTCTACTATTGATTGCTTTAAATTACCATTCTACTATATCTATATATTTCTCCAATATCCTTATATGTGATTATCTGGACATATACATATATACAAAAGTGTCATTTATATATTTATAGAAATAAATTAATTTTAATTAAATGTACTAAATTTTTTATGTCTGATTCACAGAGTTATAGATTCTACTTTGCCTTCAGCATTGTCAAAAAATGATCACAGGCATCAGAAACATCTCTTATCCAAAATCAATTGGGATACAGAAATGAAGGAAAACAATATGGTAAACCTAGCTACAAACAAAAATGTGTTCCAGCTTAAACTGGAGGAAACTCAGAAGCTCCTAGAAGATCAGCATTTAAGCAGTTTGCAAGTATGCAACTATATGTTATTAATACTTTAATTTCTAGTAATAATTCTTCCCCACTTTTCAGTGTTCACTAAAGAAATGTATGTTTTTAGCTAAGAGTAGGCCATAAAAGAAAGTGTGGATGAATCAGTACAAATTTAACATAGATATTTGAAAAAAAACTTAGTTTTGTTCTTACTTCTTTTGCATTTTTTCCTCTGGTTCTATTCTTTTTTATCCATTCCTTCTATCTCAAAAAAATACGCTTTATTAATTTTATGTTCTCATAAACATGAAAGTTATTTGAAAGTACAATGTAATATAAGTATCATTAGAGCCTGTAATATAAAAACAACCTGGGCCGAGGATTTAGCTCAGTGGTTTCATCACCTGCTGTGCAAGTGCAAGGACCTGAATTCGATCCCTGGTACCAAAAACAAGGGAAAAAAAACAATCTTAAGATTATAATATGTATAGTAATTAGGTTCTTAATTGAAATATTGCAGGATTAGCTACAAATGATATTTCTAGTCTGTTCCTTCTAGGGTATTTACACTGTTATTTTTTCCAAAATTAGTATAGATTTCAGCTGATTTTTCTACATGTTCCTGCACTTTATTTTTATTAATAATTATGAGGATTCTTAATAGGTCAATGTCAAGATTAAATTGGCCTGATTGATCCAACAACTAATCAATAGTGACAAGGCTAAGAAAGAAAAATGAGATTTCTGCTGGCAGTAAAATATGACTTCTTACCAAAAATAACCATAATTCTGAACATAACATATGAAAAAACTGTTTTTAGACATTGGACATATACAGTACAGGATATGATGTTGAAAAGGGGAAATAATTAGGTAAGCCTCATGATCTTCCTAGAATTTCAACTTGGACATATCCTCTATATAAACCTCAAAAAAATATGAAAGTGACCCATTTGTCTATATAAAAAAAAACTTTTTTTCAAGCTGTAAAATCTAGAAGTGCAATAAGGTAATGTTCACAATGTCAACAGTCAATCAGAATTTACTAGATATATAAAGAAGCAGAAAAATATGAACCATAGCCAGGAGAAAATTAGTCAATATAATCAGACACTGAAATGGTAAAGATGATGGGATTAATAGACAAAGAATGTAAAACCATTTTTATAAATATTTTTCAAAGAATTAAAGTAAAAATGGATATAATAAAGATAATTTTTAAAGAACCAAATAGACCTTGTAGATATGAAAAACAAAACATCTGAAATGAAAATTTTACTGGAGGGGCTACAATCATTGCAGGGCAGGGAGATGCACATATTTAAAGACATAACAGTAGAAATTATCTGAACTGAAGTACTGGAAGAAAAAATACTGTAAAAAAATTAATAGTGTTAGTGACCTATGAGACAGTATCAAACAGTCAACACATTTAATTAAAATTTCACAAAGGAGAGGAAGGGCCAGGGATTTAGTTCAGTGGCATAGCGCCTGCCTTGCAAGCGCAAGGTCCTGAGTTCAATCCCTGGTACCAAAAACAAAAAGGAAAAGGAAAGGAAATATGTATTTAAAACTGTGGCTGAAAATGTTCCATATTTGATGAAAACTATAAATCCACAGATTCTAGAGACTCAACAAACTCCACAAAGAATAAGTGTACATGCACACACAACACATAAGGGCACGTTAAATTCAAATTCAGCTAGAGAGAAAAAAAAGACATGTCTACAATACAGATCAATACATTCTACATATGTGTGAGAAATCAGAAATGTTTTTAACTGTTACTGTTACATGTTCACAATTTATTGATTGATAAATTCTGTGGAATTTATGCTGAAATAATGTTGAGAATGTCTTGACTTTATGAAACTTATTTGTGCTCAATCTCCAAAAAAGGAGTCATTTTATAAGTCAATAGGTCTTGAGCCTAAATCCATATTACAATTACCTGGGGAATTTTTAAATATTAGTAATGCATGGACTCTATCCAAGTATTAAATGAACTAGACCCAGACATAGGTATTTTCTATAAAGTTCCTTATGTGGCCCTAACTTGTAAATAAAATTGAAAACATTACTACAGACTACAAGATTGGCTTTTATAAAATGGATTTATATCCCACTAACAGGAAGTTCATATCAGGGTCACAAAGCTTTTAGAAGACTCACTCAAGACCAGTGAATGTTTCAGGAAAAACTACAATTTGTAAATAATTATTTTTCAGAATTTTACTGGCTATTATGCAAATAAGAAACTCCATACACTGAATAGAATATCAATAACAAAAATTATTTTCTGAATGTTCAACATCACTGGTAATTCAAGAGATGCAGATGAAAACAACATTGAGATTCCACTTCACCCCAGAAAGAATGGCTGCTATCAAGAAATCAACCAATAACAAATGCTGGCAGGGGTGTGGGGAGAAAGGAACCCTTCT